AATATCTGTACTGTCTACATCTTGCATTATTAACCCACGCTCGGGACTTTCCTTTTCCTGTGTTTGGATCTCTATTATTTGTGATCAATGCGCAGTAATGCGAGCGCCTCTTTAATGCAGTCAGTCTATTTTCCTCACTGCGCCGCCTTTTCCAGGCTATCGCGCACCAGACGTGGGCTAGTTTGTGAAGATTGCTATGAGAAAGGCTAGGATGACCTGGCAGATGTGAGTCGGTGAATTAAACATGACATGCTGCCCTGATGACGGAGTAATAAGACTCCTGCTGCTCGCTCGGATCACAGGTAAACTAGTGAGACACATTCCAGTTCAAAAGCACACGTCTAAATGCTGAAGCCTTTTGTCCACTTCTGATCATACTGCACAGGGATTCACTCTAATACCCAGAAATATAGTGCTTTTAGTAACGATGTGTACATTTAGTAATAAAAACACTTTATAAGAGATGTATTTATTGCAGTTTATTTCCTTTATTTCTGAAAAGTTCATATTGCACTCTGCAGTCACATTTGATAAGACTTTGACTTGATTTGATATATAGAAAGTTTATATATATATGAGCAGTATCACACCAGTAGCAGTGGGATATGGCTGTACATCGGCACTAGTGGGAGGCGTGTGTTGGCATGAGGCCGCAGGCTGAGTACCTCAGTGCCCCCACCAGTGCCGATATACAGCCATATCCCGCTGCTACTCGAGTGATATTGTGTTTATACAACAGTTTGACGGCATAATTGTGTATATAAAAACAAAATCCAACATGGAGAGTTTCAAAATCCCTTTTGTATGAGGAACTACTTTCTAACGGATTCAGATCATAAGCTGACAGATAAACAGCTGAGCGTGCATCTTTTACACTGTAGATCTGCAGTGTCTGCTTTCTGCTGGCTGTATGTGGGCGGAGTAATACACAAAGGGTAAAGAGGCTGTACAGGTGATGATATTGCAGAATATCGCACGGCTATCAGCCAATCAGATTTGAGAACCAAACAGAACTGTTGTATATATATATATATGAAAACATGTGCAATCGGCATTCAGAAACAAACGTGCAAAGACCGCCACCTGCTGGTGCAAGAATAAATAAGAATTTATTTTAGCAAAAGAGAAAAACTGAATATATTTTGGACAGAAGTCAGAGTAAAATGTAAGACATTATTTATGAAGATAGACAGGTCTACAGAGTGAATCAACATGAAGGGCAGCTGATGTTTATAATCTAACAGCCACAAAACGACATGCTGAACACCGAGAGTTTGCGTCAGGATGATGATACATGTGTCGCCTGTTTAAGCAGTGTTGTTAGGCTGTATAGCAGAGTTTGATGCTGCTCGGCTACTTTCATAAATTTGGCAACAAACATTTTACATAAAAACTGGAAATGTCAGGTATTTTATAATGTTGTATCAACAGGATGTCCAGTTACCCACCCATCCTCACTCACTATCCTTCAGCTTAGTCCCTGATTTATCAGCAGAATGAATCGCCAATTATTCCAGCATATGTTTTACACAGCAGATACCCTTCCAGCTGCAACCCAGTACTGGGAAACACCCATACACACACACATTTACCTATTATTCACCTATAGGGTTAGGGTTATATATGTCTTTGGACTGTGGTTGAAACGGGTACTTTTTACTTTTGTACATGTTCGAGGCTGTGTTTCTTTACTTTTACTTAAGTACAAACGTGTAGTCAGTACTTTTACTTTTACCAGTGTCATTTTAATCGTGAGTATCTGTACTTCTACTTAAGTAAGGGATGTGTGCGCTTTTGCCATCTCTGGCTGTTTACTTCATTAGTCTGTCCGTCATCACTGCAGCCGCCGAATATAAAGAGCTCTCCATCCAGCAGACAGGAGGAGGAGCCAGACAGAGGAGGAGGAGCAGAACCACACACCTGACGCACACACCTGCAAAGGAGGAGGAGAGGCTAATACACACACACACACACAGCTGTAGGCTGTCTGTAGCTCGTCTCCGGGGCTCTGTTCTTCGTATGTGGATTACTCAGTGAGCTGGATTTGGTTATTGATGATTTGACTGATCCAGGATCGGTTCGTTCTTCAAAACTCATCTGAGAGTTGTTGTCATAGCAACAGTTCCAGTAGCCCAAACCTGCTCAGAACAGCAGCTCATTCATTTAAACAGGATTAGATCGGCTCAGTTCAAGCAAATATAATACTAAGAGTGTGTACCGAATCCTGATATCTTCTTACAGTAGTAGTTATACACACTTGGGAAAATAGTAACTATATACTTTTAACTATATATATATATATTAGGGATGTAGCAATATTGTAAATACCGTCATACCGCAATATTAATTTTTTTCGATATTAGCGTAGTCGCATGACTCGATAAAACTATAGGTCTTCTGAGAAAGTTTGCTCAGGCGAATGAAGTGAACGGGAGGTAGCGGACACTACAATTCCCATCAGCCCAGGCGTGGCCATCATCCTTTGCGGTCGGTTGTCGCTACAGATCCAGTAATGTGGAAATGGAGTGTGCTGCTAGTAGCGGGGATGAAAATGAGATGGAAATAATGGAGCCTAAAGCGGGTTTTAAATCAGATGTGTGGAAGCATTTCGGTTTCTTTCTAAAAAGATACGAGAAAAGAGAAAAGGTGACAAACAAAAAAAAAACCCGGTATGCAGGCACTGCCAGACTGTGGTGAAATATAAGTCGAGGAAAACGACTAATAGCAGTCATGGGGACTGCAGAACACAGCACACTGTTCAGATTGATGCAGAGATTGACTTGTACCGTAAAGAGACCTCTATCTCACTCATGGTTTGTCCTCTCAAGTGGTGGAAAGACAATGCACAACGTTACCCACTGCTGTCAACCTGGGCCAAGACATATCTCTGTCCCAGAAACCTCAGTCCCAAAGGAGAGGGTTTTTTTCTGTTGCAGGGGACATTGTAAATGCCCAGATATCCCAGCTTTCACCAGATTATAGTTATATGATCATTTTCCTGAAAACCCATCTCTATCTGAGTGAGTGAGTGATTAAATGTTGTATGTGAAAGTTTTCAACAATACTTAACTGAAGCTTTATTTTTTTACATGGTTTAATATTTTTTTGTTATTAAAATTGAATAATTGAAGTTCCTGTTTCAAAGCTTACAGATAGATGGCTGATTTGTATGTCATTGACACTTTTGGCACTTTTTTGTGTTTCCTGTAAATGATTCAATAAATACCGTACCGTGACATTCATACCGAGGTATTACCGCACCATGAAATTCTGATACCGTTACATCCCTGATATATATATATACTTCTTTAGCTTTAGTACAATTGTGTATAATAGACCTGCACAACATGACTTTTTTTAAAGCAATAAGACATGTAATGTGACGCTGATTTGATGCTTCATAACAGATGCAGATGCCTTTACCAATATCAAAATGCTTTTGTAAACATCTAGTTATTCTTTACACCCATCTAGTGTAAAGAATACAACATCTAGTTATTCTCAAACCGGCTACTGTAACACTACTCTGACTACTATAATAAAGAAAATCCGCTCTAACTGTAGAACTAAATAAACAGCAAAATACATATGAAAGTGTAAAGCCTGCAGCTCACAACAAACGTGTAAAGTTATTGCGTGTCATGTTTAACAACCCGTTTACTATGAATTTTCTGTAATTTTGCTCACATGAATAATTGAATATTAATCAGATGATGTCATTACGCTGCTGTGTCGTCAGCCAATCGCTGCATTGCTGATCATGATTTGGAGGATGGATAGATCTATCCTTCACAACACACACAGATCTCAGATCAGCTCATCCAGACACTTTAATCCGATTCATGAACTTGTTTAAAAAACCAAATCAGCCAGAGATCAGTGATCAAGATGAACAGATCCAGGATCTGCCAAATCAGCTCAGATCATTTAAGCAAGGTATGAAGAACAGAGCCCAGGGCCCGGGTTTTCAAAAGTAATCCACTAGGATTTTGGATAAGAGATCGGATCAAATCTTGAAAATGGATTTTTCAAAAGAAAAAACGGATTACATAATCGGATTAGATCACGTAATCCAATCTTGGTTTTGATCCGGATCAAACCCTTAGTTTGGGTTTTTCAGACCTTTTTTGTAGAATTTCGATAATAATAAATAAACTGATCCCATCAGAAGGGTGGATTTAGCGTGGATTTCATGCCCGAAATGTAATGAAAACTTATTTATTAAATAAAACTATATTTGGATCATGCAGTATCTTGATGCAAAGAATGGCAATGCCTGATTTTTGACATCACCTTCAACAATTGCAAAAAGAGACAGAAGTTCAGCTTCATCTGGCAAAGGAACAACTGACTCTGACCAAACTGCAGCAAACCAAGACCACACTTGAGATCTGCCTCCTAAAGAAAACGCTCAGACAAGCTGCTCCCTCCACATCAGATGAGGAAGTCTGACATTATTGTGGAGGTTTCAACATTGTCTTTTTTTATTCAATACATTGAAACTTATTATAAATATCCTCAATGTACAGTGTTGTAGATCTCAGATGAGCGGACTGCTGGAGGAGGATGGGGTGGGGTTTTTCTTGCTTTTATTGTTTATTATTATAATTATTTTATTATTTATAAAAATGTTCTTAGTTTTCATTTCAAATAAAAATAAAGTTACACACTGGCTATTCTACTTGTTGCTCTTTTCATAGGCCTGTCTATCCATCTACATTGTGTTTGAGCACTGGTAATCCAGATTTAGTGATCCTGAAAAGTTCCTATCTGGATCAGAATGATCCAATCCAATGTTCCTTTGAAAAACTGGCTCAAAAAGTAAGCTGGATTACCTGATCACGGATCGCAAAAACAGGATTACTAAATCCGGATCAATTTTATCCGGATTAAACCTTTTGAAAAACCGGGCCCTGATTTCACAAACAAGGTTTAAGGCGAGATGTCGTAAAATATGTCAGTGTTATTATTTTTTTTACCTCCAGGTGCACACCAGTAACATTGTTCTCAGGCCATTTTTATAAATGTCTTAAATAGCCTTATTTAACTAAGGCCTAGTCCTGGCTTAATCTAAGCCCTTTTTGTGAAACTGGGCCACAGAGTCTGCATCAGTTCACCAGCAGAACTGCAGACATCATCATCAGCAGCACTCCCGCTGTCCTCAGACTGACTCTGGGGGCTATTCCATAAACCAAGCTTACAGAAAAAGCCCGGCTTATTTTGGTAAGTCAGGTTTATTAATGGCAGATTCGGTTTCATAAATCTAATTTATGATAGTTCAAACTTAGTTACCCTGGCAACTTATGCTGGGAAACTAGCCTGGTTCGGGGCAGGCTAACTCTCAGGTCTTAAGTTCAAGCTTAATCAAAGTAATGTTAACATTCACCTGCCATAATCTGATGCCATTTAAATTCACTTAACCTCTTAATAAGGATTAAAACTTTATGGTCACTTTATAGCAAAAAAAAAAAAATATATATATATATATAATATATATATATATATATATATATAATCCAAACTTTGCATTGGTACTGAATAATCTAATGTATATGCACAAATATATTATTGTAAAGCATCCTGTAGAAAATATTAATTTAAAAGAGAAATCTGTGAGGGGGTTCTTAGCTCTCTCTCTCTCTACTATATATTAGGGATGGGAAGATTCATCGATATGTATCGATACACGGTCTTGTGCGTGCACGATGCGAGTGCATCGGTTGAGCAGCAGAGGATGAATGAAATTTTGGAAGCAAATCGAGATGCATCGGTTTTTGCGAGATGCATCGGTTTTTCCGAGATACAGCTTATATTTTTAATATAGAATGTATTTTTTATTTATTAACAAGTGTTGTCAACCTGTTTTTGGCGCATAATTTAATCGACCTACATAAAGTAAGCCTTAGCAACGGATTTGCGGATGTGTACACTTACACTACAACTCAGTGTATCAGATGTGCGGATGAAGCTAGTGGAGCGCCCCCAGAAAGTGCGAGAAGCAAAACAAACATTTTATTCCCCACTGAGTTTTAAATCTAAAGTATGGCAACATTATGGATTTAAGGATGGACGACATGACAGGACAGATGCCATTTGCAAAATGTGCCGCGCATCTGTAAAATACGAGTAATCTGAAATCTCACTTGAAGCGGCGCCACGGTGTTGTTGTGAAAGCATCTTCCAGTGTTCCTGCATCCCCGGCTTTCGCACTGCTTTAACTGTAGCTACCAGCTCCAAAAGTGGTGAGAAAAGCATTGCAAGTTTTTTTTCCATGCGCAACAGTTTTGTGCGCTCTACGCCAATAACGGATGTTACTGCATTGTTCATCTGCAAAGATATTCAGCCTAGTGTCACGGAGAACGAAGGTTTTAAACACCTCCTCCTGTTAATTTTTATTTAATTATAATGATAATAATAATATTAATAATAATAATGATAAAAATAATTGGGTGTCACGGTGGCACAGTGGGTAGTTTGACCACCTCACAGCAAGAAGATTGCTGGTTTGTTATATTTTTATTAGCCTGTTGTTTACAGAGACAGTGATGTTTCAACGCAGCATAACACTGCTAGTTCACAACCTTAAGTTTTGAATATTCAGTGGCAAAATATATCTTTGTAAAACTTGTTTTCATAGTTGAAAAGTTAAATCACAATTCTTGTTGTGCAATGCTCAACCTTTATGTTGAAAGAGTGCAAATATATATATTTTAATATATATTGCACTTATACATTCTGTTCATCTTGAAAATACTTAAATAATATGTGCTATATGTTCTAAAATGGCCCTCTACTGTAAACTGACACTCTGGCTCTGAGAGAAAAGCAGGTTTGTAAAAAAAGTCTTGGTTTTACTTGGTTAATAAATAATCAAACTCATTCAATGGCACAGCATCCTCTTTCACATCATCTCATAAACTTGATCTAATTAGT